TGGAATTATGTGACATTCCCGCTGTCCGGAAAGACGTATATTTCCAACAGACTTGAAATCCATGTTGTTCTTTTACTTACTGACTCTGACTAACCCATTTTTGTACCAAAATATGCGCCAGAACCTGTCCATACTTATCTAGATATATGCTAAGAGCAGAGTCAATCAGTTTGATTACGAATATCATTTGAGCATGTATTTATGAATTACCAACCAATAGTGATGGAACAAGGTTTTTAGTAGCGCTTACTGTATCCAGCCAGGACTATGGCACCCGTCACAAACATGTACAAAGGCAAGTCACCTGTTCACTTGAAAAGATCGGGAATATATGATACGTTGGAAATATTGTTTCGGACATTATTTTTGTCACTGATGCATCAAATGTGTAGATATAGACGGGCGCTTTCACTGTAAGAATGATCTAATTGCGACTCGGCCCCTCAGGAATCCAGGGGAGACCGTTTGCAATTGATGTAAGAGTTGATTAATGAGAATCGGATAGTCAGCTTCGGGTTCTTGGCTGACAACAACCAGATTTCTTGAGTCGTTGGTAACGCTTTCATCCATTGTTTTTCAGTCTTCAGTCCCTTTTCACCACCAGATAGAATCTAGAGTTTTAGATGAAATACAGCTAGACTATTGCAAACTGAGGAGTGGAAAAGCATTTTCTCACAAGATAAAGGGTTCAATTTGTCATAATATTTGCCTTATCACATTATGATATGAGCTTCTTGTGCCCGACATGTATTACATGTAAAATGATGTCAGATCCATTCCTTGATTTGAAACATATGTTTCCCTCTTATTTCAATAGACAATTTACTTGCTTTGCATGTGTTTGTATCCGATGCCCCTGTGACGCAGGATATCCTCACCTTTTAGAACACCTGGTGTTATCACTTTTGGATAGTGTTTCATTAACACATGACCAAGATAAAGTATTTACACTGCGATCACATTCTGCAGATCTTGACTCCCATTCTTGGGATTCATCTAAGTCATTGTGACTTGTTTTAACATGTATGTGCAAATTATCCAAACGTGTTTGGATTCTCAAGGAAACCTTACATTATCGTAAATATCCCTCACCCATTCGATATATGTTTGCTGTTTGGTTTGATGTTTAACGCCAAACTCAGCAGTATTCCATCTATATGGTGACGGTCTGTAAATAATCGAGTCTGGACCAGGCAATCCAGTGATCTCGTCAGATATATGGTGTCAATGACCTTTGTAATAGAAGTAGCATCAAAATCGTATAACACTACAATGAATCACATGTCCTTTATCATGGGATTCAAGCATGGTCGTCCATTAAGTGACCTTGACAACTGGTATCAATGCGTGCCCTATCAGCTGCTTCTCAAGCATCCGGCATCCGCATCTACGGCGTCCATTTCCACAATCCTTGACCTCCTTCCTCTCCTCTATATGTTGAAGACATGATCTCCATGACATGAGATAAGGAAAGGAATAGGTTTTATTATACCCTGGAGGGTTGTCTGACAACGTGTTAAAACTGATGAAAGGACCCGATAATGTAGGTGACAGTCCAATACATATTCAGGTGACATGCTGAAATCTGAGAGTCAAACATTAGGAAGATGTCATAGTCGGTTCGATTTGATTGTGGCAGAAGAAATTATTAGGTTCAGATGAATTCAGTTTGGGTGTTAGACAGGACGTGAGATGGTGTATTTGGGTATATTAGATATGATGTGGGTTATTTTGGTTGTTTTTTAACGCCGCACTCAACAATATTCCAGCTATATGGCGTCGGTCTGTAAATAATGGATTCTGGACCAGACAATCACGTGATCAACAGCATAAACATCAATCTTCTAAATACGGATACATTCGGGATACCATGGAATGTGTCAACCAAAGTCAGCGAGCCTGACCACCTGATACTGTTAGTCACCAGTTAAGGCAAGCATGGGTTGCTGAAGATCAATTCTATACCGGATCTCTAAAGGTAGATAAGATATATTTGGCATGGGATCCAGATTTGTGTGATCTCATAGGACCTTGAGATGTGGTGGTTATACAGTACGGTATGAAAAGGGACATATTGAGAAAAAGTTAGCTACGCCATTCTTTAACGCTTGGGAACACCTGAAACCTGACTAATCCACCCACTTCAGGGCAGGCATAAAAAGACAGAACAATTTGTCGTGAAACTCTGCTTTAGTAGAGTAGGCGGTGTAGTTGATCATCTGCTCCTTCCATAACACGTTCCTGTGCAAGTGCCAGATAACGACGTTTTGTTTACCCAGTCACATTCAGACCTCAATTTCTGAAAAAGATCAATTGAAAGAAAGTACTTACACTTTAACTGGCATCACCCGCCAAAACCGTGTTATCGAAAACAATTATGTCAACGGACGAGCTCATGGAATCGCAAATAATATTTTTGGTGATATCTGCTTGTCAGAGTAAACTCCAAGTAGAGGTAGTTTATTGACCATTTATGATCTAAATAATCTGATTTGGGTTAATTTGAATGTTGTATCACAGGAAATTACTCTATCGTGAGATGGCGCATTGGACATTACGATCTTATCTGTTATTACGAACCAATCACTCACGAAACGGCTAGATCCAATCATTATTATTTATAAATCATGTTATCTTATACGTATATTAAGGATATATTTGCATACTTGATTTAACTAAGTTTCTCATCACTTTAATAGCATACGGTGTCACTTTGATATTAACAAGACGTGACAAGAAAAGTAAGCCTTGTGAAGTTAATTACTATAGTTTTCACGAAGTCACAATAAATTGTTCAATCAGGTTGTATGCAATCAATAGGGTGATGTCTCATGAACAGTCATCAGAAACGCTCGCAGGCCAATTTCACGAATTCTGAACATATAGCACTACGTGCACTTCATTGATTAACGCTCTTGTACTAACATCAAGTGGCCAAACCATCCTTAAGTGTGATGACCAGGGGAAAGTTCCAATATTAGTACTTGCCATATATTACACAAAGTCAATCTGTCCCTGTATACACTCACCAGAAACTATCAACCATCTCATAAAGTGGATACGCTGTTCAAGTATATAGCTTTATTGTGCCAAGATCCATAATCAATCCCAGTCCGTTTTGAAGAACCCTCCATGCGGCGGACTTTGCTGGCATGGTAGGAAGGGGGATGTCAGGAATACTGATGAGTTTCCGCGGGGTCTTAAGTGTCACGCGCGACTACAAACGGCAGGAATCAATACCACTTGAGTCTGCAGTGTAAATGCGTTGGGGATATAAGGCGTGCAAAATTAAGCACTTGACAATGTTTCTCTTACATATTTGTTGCTAAAGTGTGAATCAATGAATAGCCTTAGGCTGCAGACAAACAGTTTATATTTGTACTGAAGGCATGTTACGGAGGTAGCTCTCATAACGTAGTTTATTCCTCTGTTTAGCGAGTATCAAGGAACTCATTTTACATCGATCGCAGAAAGACTTTTCAAGTTATTTACCTGGTTATTCATTACACTTCCGCCAGTATTTTATTGCCCTTTTATTTTGCATTTTCTGCACCAGTGCCAGAAATGATGTCTATGGCCATTCCATATTTGGATGTTGCTATATTTGGATTTGGTTTTTCCAGGTGAACAGTTGACTTGCCTTCGTATGTGTTTATGACGGCAGCCTACCAGGGAGCGAACCGATATCGCAATCTCTTATTGACAGGGTTTGAAAAATAACCAGACAAAGTTGGAATGGCGCAACAGGTGAAAGGTTTTAAAAATGGATTGGTGCATTGGGTGAAGAGTTTTTCAAAGATGGAATGGTGCAATAGGTGACTGTTTTTTAAAGATGGTATGGTACATTAGGTGAAGGGTTTTTTTCATAAATGGAATGGTGCATTCGGTGAAGGGCGGTTTTTCAAGATGGAATGGTGAATTAGGTGAAGTATTTTTTAAAGATGGAATGGCGCATAAGGTGAAGGGTGGTTTTCAAAGATGGAATGGCGCATTAGGCGAATGGTGTTATTAAAAAACGGAGTGGAACATTAGGTGAAGGACGGTTTTTCAATGGTAGATTTGGCGAATGGTCTTTCAAAAATATGAATTCAGTCTTTTGTCTTTTTATTGACGATCTCTGTCTCTTTTTATTCAATATTCACTTAACTGCTTATGTTAACAATTTTTAATTTTCAGAAATCTGCTGCATTCAAATTACATATCAAACATTATATAGTACGATGTAATATTGAATTTGATAATTTCAGACAAACTATAAGCTTTCTCAGATTCGTTGTAATACATTACAAAATAGTGTCAGACATTTTCCACTTTCAAATTAACATTAACACATAAGTTTTGAAGACATATGGATATTATCACTGAAGATTATCAGAGTACATTTGTATGTGTTATGTTGCTTATCCGTTTTTGGACTACTTAATAGCGTCCTGATATTGATCGAAATATGCACCTTGGAGATAATTGTATGGTAATTCAAGGACAACCACCATTAGACGTTAGAGTTGATTGAATTACATAATTGCACATGAAAATAATATATCTACATAAAGGCGAGTCTGATGGGTGTGGAAAGAGCTATCTGTACAATGACTGTACAGTGTTCCAGAACTTTCATTACAGTGTTTCAAAGTTATTCCAAACGTTCATTTTCCAATTCGACTTGTCCCCTATGGAGGTTCTATTGTCTGTGATTAACGAATCATGTAGTATTGTGACTTAAACAATTTAAGCGCTTTCCAAAATGTCTTCGTAATGAAGGTGGCGTTTCCTGACTAAAGTAGTTTTACAGCAACAAAAAACGACACGCCGCCATGCAAACAATCACAATGTTGTGGTGAAATTGCGAACAAGTTATGTCCCAAGCGAGAAGAAATTAGATCAGTTATATACTAAGTAGTTCTACGAGTTCTAATTTTGTCTTTCAGATCCTACCACCAGCGTAGCATATCAGCTGCGGTTCTATACGTCTATCTACGACTTCTCTTTTTGTCTTCCAGGTCCTACCACCAGTGCAGCAACAAAGCCCGTAACGACTCTGGAAACTGGAAACTTAATAACGAAAGTCCCGATACTGTGAGGCATTCCAACAGAAGCAGGCCGTCGTCCCCTGGGGAGGAGGCGTTGCAGGCGAGGAGACAGGTATAGATCGTGATGGCAGAGAAGATGATTCCATAATTTCTCTCATTTCTTTCAGTGGTTGTCCCCTTTCTCATATACGAGATGCTTTTACGATAGCATGTGAGTTGTTATTGATACTGTCTGTTCGAAATCCTTGTGGAAATGGACAGGCGGATATATACTAGGCACATAAAGAAACTGTGCATACAAAAATTTAAAATCTAAATTTATCAAACCTGTGCAGACACATAAGGATTTAAACTCAGAGATTAGTGACATGTATCCAACATGCATGCACGTGCCACGTTCCGTGACGTCAGTGGGTTCGTCCTTGAGACGTGCAATACGTTGTTGCACGTGCATTCCGGGAAAGAGAAACAGAGCAAATGAATGCCACACAATACTGTCACTTTAGATAGCTCAACACCTGCCCTTGCGATCGTTCAAAAAATTAAACGGCTATTGAAACGCATAGCATGCCAAGGCTCACGTCTGCACAACGTCATGAGGCCATTGGGATGGTCCGTGGGGGAATGTCTCAACGACAAGTGGCTGCACATTTCCACTGCCACCGGAACACCATTTCTGCACTGGTGAGACGCTATCAGAACACAAATGACGTCATCGATGGGCCACGTTCTGGACGTCCACGTGTAACAACGCCAAGACAGGACAGATGGATAAGGGTGACCCATCTTCGCCACAGGTTTCAGACTGCAGTGATTACTGCCCGAACCATCCCAGGACTTCGCCGTATCCACCCCAACACAGTTCGACAACGTTTACGTCATCACGGGATCAGACCACGACGTCACGCCATACGGCTTGTCCTGACACAACGTCATCGACAAGCTCGCCGAATGTACTGCCGAAATCATGTCCGCAGACCCTTGTTTTGGTGGAGAAATGTTGTTTTTACAGATGAGTCCAGGTTTAACATTTCCCATAGTGATGGACGTCAACGTGCCTATAGACGCGTGGGAGAACGTTATGCACAGGCCTGTGTCTTGGAGGGTTCGCTTTGGTGGTGGTGCCGTGATGATGTGGGGTAGAATAACAGCACGCCAAAGAACTCCTTTGGTGATTGTACAGGGCAACTTAACTTGTGTGGGCTACAGGGATCAGATTCTTCGACCTGTGGCAATTCCTTTCCTGCAACGTCATGGCCCTGGGTTAACATTCCAACAGGACAATGCCCGCCCTCATACGGCAAGGGTTGCTATGGATTTCTTGCAACACCACAACGTTGACTTACTGCCTTGGCCTGCAAATTCACCGGATCTCTCCCCGATAGAGCATGTTTGGGACGAGATGGATCGACGTCTACGCCGTCTTCCTCATCCGCCAGATAACGTCCTTGACCTTGCAACAGAACTTGAGAGAATCTGGCGTGACATCCCACAAGCCTTCCTTGCACGTTTAATAGGCTCTATGCGTCGTCGAAGCACTGCTGTTCTCAATGCCGATGGTGGACATACCCGTTATTGAGCTTGTGACATGGTCGTTTGACCCCTGTCCCGCTTGTGGACTAGTGACGTCATTGTGATTGACTTTTCAATTGTAATTCTCCCGACTTGTTATGGTCTCATGATCCCTCCATTAAAGTTTATATGTACCTTTGACATTGTTATCGTACTTATCAACTGGGATAATATTTTGACAATGCACAGTTTCTTTATGTGGCTAGTATACATAAGAAAGTTTCCTTTTCGACTTTTGTGAATAAGTTAAAGAAACAAAGATGCACTTAGCAATATTCCAGCTATATGGCGGTGGTCTGTAAATAATCTACTCTGGACCAGGCAATCCCTGTTAAGAGGTAAACGCAACTAAATGTTCCAAATGCATTCTTTGCTCGGCTATATCGTGAGTTTCATACTTTTCGGCTTTGTTTTAAACATGTATCGTTATTGTCACATACACATTGTCTGAAATTATAAGTATATGACTGGTGCAAGATCGACAACAACGCTCACTTTTGTAAAATCTAATCCCAAGTTTATGTTCGATTTTCGTATGGCGACACACATTGACCCATAAATGCACTTCTTGAGAAGATATTGAAATAGCACACTGTTCTCATCTTTTATAATCTTCGGCACCCGTGAAGATCCGATTTAGAATTAATCTTCAGTAGCCCATGCTTGTCGTAAGAGGCGACTAACAGGATATGGGGGTCAGGCTCGCTGACTTAAGTTGACACTCACTTACTCACTCACTCACTTACTCACTCACTCACTCACTCACTCACTCTACATGCACGGGGTCGTACACCGGGTCAGTGTAATTTCCGATCATTTGTTGGCAGTTGAACTGTCTATAGTCTGAACTTCACGTAAACACCAAAGACTTGATTTCATGTCATTATTCTCTTTAATACTCGACCGTGACAATCGTACAATGTCTTTTCATGATCCCCTGTTTTATGCCTCTGACCTTCACTTAAAACACAGGCAATTAGTAGATCAGGGCATGATCACTAATGTCATTGCGCTTACGTTTTGCATTGATTCGTGAGTGTAGGTTCATACATGTTATGCCTTCATTTCATTTTATTCTGGAAAAGGATTCCAGAAAACAGGGCTGTATTCCAATCCACAAACTCAAAATTAAAGAACAAGTTAAAACAAGTCTAAATTTGCGTTTACTCAAATAAAACAAATGATGCTGACCTAAATTACTACAACGGAAACGGACAATATTAGTAATAACAAAACGCCATACAGAACATTTTGCTATGTTTGTGTAATATAGTACTCGTGTGCATCTGATAGAATGTTCAGCACCATCAGAGTGAGTGAGTGAGATGGGTTTTAGCAATCTTCCAGCAATATCACGACAGGGGACACCAGAAATGGGCTGCACACATTGTACCCATATTGGGAATCGAACCCGGGCCTTCCGCGTGCCGAGCGAAAGCTTTAACCACTAGGCTTACCCCATCGCCCCCAGTGCTATCAGACAATCATAGGAACCGTTTGCTGATGTGTCGACGGTATCCGTGAATATATCGAGTTTGCACCACATCACACACAGACGAGTATGTTTCAGAATTGTCAACATGTATCATACGAACATGACATTTGCAGATTTGGCTTCACACTATTGACGCAAATTTTGTTAAAATGATTCCCCTATATATTTAACCGTGATCATAACAAGCAGCTGAGGTCTCAGCTGCATCTGCACATCAACTGACTGCGTTCGCCTTGGCACCGACAGAGTCTGAATGCCTGCGCCTGAAGACTTTGTTATAAAACTGATCACAAAATGTCAGGGATACTTCCTTTATTTTGTTTATGGTGATGCAGGACCCAGATGAAGCTTATTAAAGAACAAGTAAGCTTGCTTCAGAATGACAGAGTGCTTTCAAATGGCACTAAGCGTATAAGTGCTATTTCATTAGCATCAATCGATAATCTATGAATGGTTAAAAAGTACGTGGCTGTCACATATAACAATGTTCTTCTCTAAGTAATGTTTCTGTTGTCATTGAAAACAACATCCATCACTGTCTGTAAACTGTCAAAGAGAAATTTGGTTACAATGAGACTGAAACACAGACAAGGATCGTATCGATTGAGAAAATCACTGTATGCTGGCTCAGTATTTCATATGCTTAGTGTGGTGTGGCTAAACATTTACCCCCATCGCTTGTTAAGGAATGAGTTAAATTTAAAACAATACATTGTGTTTTGTATGCAAACAAACGCACAGATACTATATTAAGGACACATATTATATTAAGTTATTTATGATACAATAATCTCTGTTAACGTAGTGACTATGAATACAAAAGTAGTATCGTTGACTTCATAGCTAATATAGCTAAAATGTTCCACATGTGACACGTACAAGGCGCTGTATGCAACAAGCATCTTTACACTCGGCATTTCGAGGACGCACATAACATTAGGGGTTTGAAAGCCTTCTGTCTCCTGTGTCATGGATGCAAGTCATATTCCTGCACGACCTCGTATGAACAACCTGTGACTTTTAATGTCACTGCGGGGACTAATTACAAGTATGGAGCTTCAGGCCAAGTAGCCTTTCATCCATAATGTATCAAAATGATGCCCAGAAAGGAACCATGCCACAGCAGGTTTTTCTGAGTGTTTTTGTCTTCTCTGAACAGTGGCTTCATCAGCTGCTGCTGGTTATCATGATGGTTGACCTTAGAGCTATAATGTGGCTAGCAATGCATATACAGTGACATACGGCCGACAAGAGTGGTTTGGGCAGTTTGTAAGCATCTGGTCGTTGACCTTCTTAAAGAAATTAGTGCACTGGGAAAGGTAGACATGTATTATGTTGTAACGATGTAAGTGGTTTCATATATATAATGACCATGATCTATATATGGTAATAATAATTTGTAACATACCGACCAGGAGGTCCATAAAGTGAAGCAATAAGTGGGCCACCATGGTGATCGTAAATACACACATGGGAACTGAAAAAAAACAGTTTAACCTACATACATTGAGACATCGAGACATTGCCAAGACACAAATTGGATAAACATGAGTATTCTTGTTACTTGCACGATAATAATCTTACTATTTCTTTAATACGTCCAACATACAGGGACATGAATCGAAGAGCAACGTGGCGATTACCCGGAGCCTATTGTAATGTCGTTACAATTATCGATTCTGCTGTAGTCAGTGGCTAAGGAGCCGGTAAAAGCTCATTTGTGCAACAACGTTTCCCAGGGGATGTTTCCCGTCTGTCACAGTTGTGATTAACTAATCAGAAGAAAAAATCCCGTATACCTAAAAATGTTTGTAACGACTGTTCTAGATATTAATTGGATTTTCAGAAGAATATTTATATAACTGCCAGCTTGATCCTTAAGCCACACGACAAGGACACGTAACTTCCATCTTCCAAGTGTATTTCAGAAACAGCGTAAGTTTGAATGCGACACGATTTAAGAAGTATGCAACTGTGTGTGCGTTTGTTTGTAATATGAAAATTCGGTTTAACATATTTATTTCTGATATATTGTTAAGAAACTGGATCGGCAAACAAGCAAAAAGCTTATATTAAAGTCTCTCCAGACAAAATAACATTTATGCGGCTTGCATTTCATAACAATATTACAAAAGTACATATCATAAATAACATTAAGCATACAATATACATGAATATAAACATCTGAACATCAAAAATACTTTCAGTTCTGCAAAGGTCCAGATGAAAACTTAACATTGATTAATTAGGGCTCCTTGCCTCTAGGCAGGAGACCTATTGTAATCGTTCGGATTATTATTATTATCATTTCTTATTCCGCCGATTTTTGTACCAAACATACCTCCTAAACCAATGCTCCGAATCGCTCACAAAAAATCACAGATGCCCACCGAGGTGAAAATATTCCCCTTAAAACTCTCTAGGCTCTAGGCCCAATAGCAAAGGAGAGATAATTCAAAATTAATTCCAAAATTTCAAACTTTCCATAACTGATGTCCAGTAACCATTGTGCAAATTCTGCACAAAAAGTGCCAGGATGATAGAAGAAGTCTTGGTGATTCCAGAACACTAATTGTTTTGGCCGTAGACCCAAGAACAACTGAGATACAGCCTTTTAAAGAGGGAACTATTTCTTCTCCAGAACTTCTTTAAAAAGGTACATGACCCCTGCGACCCCGGCTGTATTTGGAAGATCCGCTCGCCTGTCTAAAACGTGTTCTGGCTCCGTTTTGGACGATGATTTCTAGCCCTCAAATACAATTCAAACACCCGTAATTCTCAAACCAACCAACCAACCGTCCGATTTCGACCAAAATGTACCTGTACAAGTGGGCTATTAGTGTCGATTATAACTACTGATTGCAGTGATGTATCTCCAAAGACAACAGAGGGACAAGTGAAATTATATTTTCCACACTTTAGTTGCTATCTTCATCGGTTTTCTAGAGAACACAATGAAAGTTAGCCGTATGTATCTCAAACGTTAACTGATCAGTTTCTGTTCTACGGTTCATGTGAAAAGTATCATTGTTTGGTACATATCTTCTTCAAGATTGTTAGAGGTAATTAAGATAGCTGTTTGAACAAAGGGTTCTTCTGTTTTGAGATTCATGATACCCATTGATATTTTTAAACTAAGAAAAAAGGTTTTGTGGTGAAAAATTTATCGAAACTTGAAGACCTTCCAGTACATCCGGTCGAAGAGCATTCGACTAGCAGTGAAATGATTCATATTAACTAAAACTATTACAACTTTCATCAAATATGTGAAAGACACATTAGGCTAGATAGAAGTAAAGCCAAGGAGCCCTCATCGTTGCTATATTTCTTCTTGAAGTGATGATAAAGTTATGTATACTTATAGCATCATAGTTGGGACATATAAAAGATAATGAAGGGTGTCCTCAAAGGCAGCACAACAAGTACATGATGGGTTATCGGATATAAATCTACTTACTTTATGGACATTTAAATCGCTGCATTCTAATCGGAGTGTACAGTGGATTATTTGACAGAACCTGTTTCCAATGTTGATATCAAACCCAAATGAATTACAATATGATGTCATCTTATTCTTGAATTCACTTGGTGATTGTATAAGTCTGACTTCTTCGGAATAATAATTATTTTTGCATAATTATCTTGGACTTCTTAAAATCATTTCACTAATATCACCAATTGAGTATTTCCTGAAATCCCCAATAGAATTCAAATAATACCATTATTAATGTATCTCACTTAAATACAAATGTCACTAATGTCACTAATTGAGCATTTCCTCAAATCCTAAAAAAAATTTAATAATACCATATCAATGTACATGTATCTCACTAATTGAGAATTTTGTTGAAACAAACTATGGCTCATATGGACTAAGTGTTATCAAAACACTAACCCCAGTCAGCCAAATCCCACTCTGGCTATGTGAGAGGCCTGTTTTGACAGAATCTGGCTAAGTGAGAGGATACCATCATCAGTGGTTTTCAGTGATCCATCCATATTATTCTTAATGTTAATTTGCCTTTTAAACCCAATATCAACATGAAATATAGTGTTAATGTTTTATATTTGTTTGAGCAAAATATTACCCACTGTAATATTTCTCTATTCCGTATTTCCAAAGTACACTCACGGAGCGGCATCGTACAGTTTACAGTGTACAGTGTAAACGCTAACTTCATTCAGCTGTTTTTACATTTGTATCATGTATTTGGAATTATAGAATATCGATACAAAATGAAATAAATCTTAGAAAGGAAAAAACATATATTACACTGAACTCACATATTACATTCGGATAGAATACGCGCCACTTGTAATAAGATCTATAAATATATTATTAATGGACATTGCAAATATCTATAATGGCCCTTGGAACATGCCGTCAACCATCAAACGTGTCTCGCCCTTTTGACACGATTCCCAATGGTTATCCCACGATGTTCAATCAGACATATGTCTTAGGATTTTATTGGGCCTAGGGCTGACAGATAAATCAAATGATAGCATTCCTGTTTGCTGTGTCCTTTACTGGTGATAATATCTATAGACTCCGCGACGCTGAACCGTATATGTCTCCGGCACATCGCCTTGTAAATCAATCGAACAGGATAGAAAACCCCGAAACACAAATTAATGGTAGTGACTCTTAGAAGATTAAGACGAAGTTCTCTTCTCAGAATAAGAATAAGTCTGAGATTTCGTCCCGTCGTCGCGTGTTTATATTAAAGTTCACAGATTACATCTGAAAATTTAAAGGTACTCGTATACGGAATAGCTTGTCGCCCAGGTATCGGAGGTGTTGCAGAAGCTGCAGAGCTGAAATATATATTCCAAATATCATCAAATGTTTGACAGTCGAACAAATTTTAAAAAAAACAGTTTGAACGATACTGCGCCTCAATTAACCATAGTTTGATTGTTGTCGTTTGCGTAAGATGTGAACCACAATAAACTAAACTGATCATACAGTACATCAATCCGCTGCTTGATATGATGTCAGATTGTGAGTTGAGTTTAATGCTGGTATCACTATTTATGTCGGAAAGATACGAGTCTCAGACGTTTGCCACTACTTGGAATCCACGTTCAGATATCATTACATCGTCATCGTAAGTCCTTAGTAATACCATTTTCAGGCCCAAAGATATTTCGGCTGGAAGAAAGACATTTGACGCTCCAATAATTTCCGTTTGTATCCGTATTGTCATGTATTGTTTTACTCTAACTATGAGTTGATTTGAGCATACAATTCTCTGAACGCTCGGGCTCTTATTTTACTATGTACACATGCCTTGGCAATGGATTTTCAGATTTTCGGTAAATACGAATGACAATAGCATCAATATATGAAAGTAGATTCTTTGTCCAAAAATGCGGAAGTGGCGATGTCAAGTAAGACGACGAGTCTTTTAATGTTACTCTGAGATCAGCAGATGTTCGCTAAACGGTCGAGTCAGGATACAAGTGAAGTCACTAGAATGATGAAGAAAAGTTGCACAAGTCATTCACATTTTTCATAAATATATCACAACCTTCTTTCCTATCCTCTTTAGCATTGTTTATCTTCTTTTTAAGGTTATAAAGATGCTGGTTGTGATCATTGTCCTCTTCCTGATTTGCTGGGGGCCCAAGCTGGTCATGCACGTGATGAAGAAGCTGGAACTACAAGCTTTGTACAGCCCGCACATGTTCCACCTCACGGTAATCTTTTCTTGCCTTTCCATGCGTTTGTGACAAGGTGCAGGAACAGGATACGTTCCCCGTTCTCTGGCACGTGATATCATCACTATTTGACCATGATTTACCATCCAGTAGTAATACATTCGCGATATAGTTACAATAGTTTTAGCAGTGATGTCTGCCTGATTGAAACGTTTTTAGACAAATTCTATAACATAGGTCTATCATGTTAATTCATTATTATTGCCTTTACAATCAAAGGATAAAGCATATATTTATTACATTTGATAATCCCAAAATATATTTGCCAACAGTTTGTATGTTTTCGAAATAATTAACAATTTCCTGCTTCACACTGCCAGTATGCATTTTTCAATTGAAAAGGGCATGAACTACGAATTTGCCAAATTATTTAAGAAGCCAACAACAGCATGACTAACATGAGGCATTAACTTCATTTATAAACATTAAGATACCCATTATCCATACACAGACGCATGTGTGCATGCGGCGCTTATCGCTACTGTAGAAACATTTCATGCGGTGCTCATATATGGACAACAAGGAAGTGTGTTAACACAGGGGCTTCTGGTCCGAAAACCCCTCTGCAACCTCAGCAACTGCATTACTACATTACTGTAAGACTATCTCCAATCCCCAAGGTAATGGTACTAGCCATTGTCCGCCGTAAAGATACATGTAATCTCTTTGTTATCAACCTTATAGCAGGGTTACCCATTATCTTTATGACCTTAGGCAAAGTAGTAGCATCGTATTTTTATGTAAAAGTGAACGAGTATCGACAATGATACTTACACTTATCTTTCCAAATATGTACGGATTTTCTTGTCCTGAACTTGACAATCAAGGTTATTGTACATAGTTACGAGCCTCGTATTGTGTTGGGACCGAAGGCTGCAACTCACTGTGTAGGAATGTGACCCTCATGACAGCCAGAGACCAATGGTCGTGGCTCTGGATACAAGCTGGCCCTCATTGTTTGTTGGTTTGTGGGTATCGCATCCCTGCCCGTGGATTTCATGACGGCGGTGAAAAAATGCTTAAAGGTTACATGCAACGTACAACACAACTTTGCAGATTCTGATATCTTTCGGTATGGACTTACCGAAACAAATCATCAAAAATGCAAATTCAACTTATAAAGTTGAAAAATAACGCGATGAAAAAAACCGCGCGAAATCGGAGTTCAAACGATTCACTAATTAAAAACTGGTTTCAACAGCTGGGCTGCGGTCATAGCACGTGCGCAGTGAAATAGGTTCGCGCAACTTGGAAGCGGGCTGTCCGGTGAATACTCGGTGAAGGCTTTGGTGTGAGCTATTTTCCTAATGTTTTGTTGATATCTCACAGGCGCGAGCTTTTTATATGTTATGACAGTAAATAAACTGTTTATATAATTTCATTTGTCTATTTCACCACACGTTCTTCTTACCGAGTCACTTTCTCAGTTCGATACTTAAAAGCAATGTCATTATTTAGCGTTGACAGAATTTCGAACTGTGATATAGATATGTCGTTGTCACAGACAAAACTCAATGTCTTGTTTTATTGACACCTGTGTGTCTACCTGCCTGTCTGCTAATGACAATATTCAATACACAACTTCGATCACAGACCACATGCAATTTGAACTTAACACCAATCAGGCTATACACCATAAACAAAACGCATTGATTTATGGCCCGAGTTCGGTCGCTGTCACATTATGTAATTACACAAACAGGCAGGTGTGATACTTGAACACATGGCATGTTATGATGTCTGTTGATTGCAAAATGTTACACACAAAAAATGAGCATGTATTTACAAAACCCAACATCTCTATATATACACACACAATGAGCCGTGAGGGCATCTGCAAATGAACCAGCCGTTACACTTGAGTGCACACCCACCCGCTCTGACTGGGTTCGGTATCCCGGCTGCTTCGTTTCTTGGGAAGTAAACACAAGTACACAATATTGCACTTTTGATTTGCGATTGTACGCTTATAATTTTGTTTATATGTTTTTTCATAACCAGCAATGTATATCATATGTCATGAATAAGTGATAATTGTGTTTTATTTATGTTTGATTTTTTGGTTGCATGTGACCTTTAACTTTGAGCTTTTGGCTCATGTTGATCTCACGCGTCGTTATAAAAGAGAACAAACTGACGGACGCACTGCCTTGCGAGAGCCACACTCAATCCCTATTGTTACCAGGATATACACCTCCGGTCACCTCGTCATTTTCGATATAAATGAGAACAAACATGCAGCTGAACATACTTCGACTTAAAACAGAGTACCGCACATTAAACATGTCTCTTTATTGACATTTCGTGCCGTTTACTTTAGTTATCCATCTCTTCTCCTTTAGTCTGTATAATAAACATTTTTTTACATTTGAACAAAGAAAACATCAGTAACTGACGTTGTACTGGGTATTTTTTGTGAGAAAACCACGTCCTTATACAGAGTAAGTGAGTTTATTTTTTCACCGCACTCAGAAATATTCCAGCTATATGGCGGCGATTTGTAAATAATCGAGTCTGGACCAGGCAATCCAGTGATCAACAGCATGAGCATCGATTGGGATACGATGACATGTGCTAACCCAGTGAGAGAGCCTGACAACCCGACCCCATTAGTCCCCCCATACGACAAGCATGGGTTACTGAAGATCAATTATAACCCGCATCTTCACGGACGTCCTTATACGAAATCCCCTTTAGTAAAATCAGTCAAATGTATGTGTATGGATTTCCCTACCATATCATAACGTTTATGAATCACTCACAACTACCAGGTGTGAAAGGTACGGGTATCCTCAAGGTTCCATTATTTGTAGACAAAAGCCTCAATCTGAAGGATGTGGTAATATATCTTCTTCTCTTTAACAACTCAGAAATGGAAAGGTGAATTACCAGAGATATCTCCCTTCACGAATACATGAAAACATATCCTCAGAAGATCACGTCAAGTGAACCATGAGCAAACATGGAGAGCCAAATCATAATGAATCCTGTCTGGTTTCTTTAACCAATCAGATGACTTTAAAAACAAATCTCATTTCATTACTACTTTGATTCGTAAATTTCTATCTTAAAAACCAAAAATCATCAACACTACCATTGAGAGGTAGGGTGTCATGGCGCTCAGAAACAGCTGGGTTTAAACCATTTTCAGCAACATAATAGCACGGCCTTTATTATTTGCATTCAGAAACGCTTGTTATCGAGATAAAAACAATCTAATATGCTGTTATAAATGATTTGTTGTCGCCTAGACGTTAACAAGTCGTTTTAGTAGTTAGATTACAGAAGCTCTGTTTTCAACAACCCGTATGTCCCCTTTACCCTATTAAAGATTTGTACCCGTGAAGGTCCGGGTTAGAATATTGATCTTCAGTAACCCATGCTTGTCGTAAGAGGCGACTAACGGAATCAGGTGGTCAGGCTCGTTGACTTGGTTGACACATGTCATCGGTTCCCAATTGCGCAGATCGATGCTCATGCTGTTGATCACAGGATTGTCTGGTCCAGACTCGATTATTTACAGACCGCCGCCATATAGCTGGAATATTGCTGAGTGCGGCGTAAAACTAAACTCACTCATTCACTATTAAAGATTTGGGGGAAATTTGGTCTTCTTGTGGTCGTTGAGTTGGTTGTTGCATGTTATCGTATCCCAGTCGCGTACATCGATGCTCATGATGTCAAGCACCATATTGTGTTTACCTGGCGTAGACAATATACAACACCTGATGCTCTTGGATTATTTTCCAAAAGACGAGGTGAATACTTTTGAAGAGTGTTAGATTGTGGCTTAGAAGTCTCAAACATTGTGTAAAAGTTGCCAAAACACCACAGATATTCTTTACAGTGTCATGTTGGGATATCATGAAATTCACGTTTTTGTTGAATCTCACGAAGCTAGAGAATTGTTGACAGCGGTGCTAAACAACAAACAAACAAACAGACCAACAGAAAACCTCGTCCCATGAAGGTTTATTTAAGATTCATGCCTTTTATGGATGCTTCAAAGTTTCGCCCACTTTGATCGTTCGCCTCACCATTGCAACCTTATTAAAATCAAATATTTGTTTTCGGTAACCCAGATCATGATAAGCGACGCTGTGAATGGTCGGTTTTATGGTCGTACTTGGAATGTTTTGTTTCGCGGTAGCGAGATCTAAGATCTGATGTTGATGACATTGCAATGGCGGGTTTCAGCAATGATTCGTTTTTTATTGTTCTTCAACACAAGACATGGCAAAACCTTGTGCAATAAACAGGATACATGCTCAGAAAACGCATTCAAGAGAGACAACTCCGTTAATCCTTTTTCATTAGTTTGTGAAGAGTTATCCCCCTTCGTTTACTTGCTAGCTGACGACATTTTCAGTGATCCTCAGTATGGATGATTTAGAGAAGAGGAAGTTGATTTTAGAGTATTATAACGAGGACATCAGATCAGTTAAAGTGATTTCAAGTAGAACAGGCATCTCTTTGTTCACTGTTTATCGTGTTTTGAAAAATATTGCAAATAGATATGGCATTGAGCACCAGGGAGGCGCAGGCAGGCCCAGAAAATTGACTGTCGGTGACAGGAGGCGGCTTGGTATTCTTGTTTCTAAAAACAAACGAAGGAGTTTAGAAAACTTAAGGCTGGATATGATTGATAGAGGAACCGTGGCTGTCTGTAAGCAGACAATTAGAACTGAGCTGCATGCAATGGGTTGGCAGAAAAGTCGAGGAATTCCATCAACGATCATGAAACCTGAACAAAAGGAGCGAAGGTTGAACTTGTGCTTACAGCATGGAAATTCTAACTGGAACAATGTGATTTTCTCCGATGAAAGTTATGTGTGGTTGTTTTCTAATACACTGAAATTCTGGACCAAACAAACTGAAAAACCTTTGTATCAGCGCCCAAAGTACAGTCCGAAATTTAACGTGTGGGGTGGGATATCTGTATTAGGGGCAACGCCCCTTTGTATATTTGAAGGGAATATGAACAGTGAGCGGTACACAGATATTTTTGAGGGACATTTACTTCCATATGCTCACGTGTCCTATGGAAATTTTTGAATTTTCCAGCAGGACAACGACCCAAAACATCGTTAAAGCATTCACAGGCCTGGTTTCGGACCCAAAATATGAGATTATTAGATTGGCCAAGCTATAGCCCTGACCTAAATCCAATAGAAAATGTTTGTGGACTTATGAAGGATAGTGTCAATAAGACAAATCTGACAAATATTGCTGAAATGAAAGAAGAGGTGGTCCGATATTGGGACAGCATGGACCACGACTTTCTAACTTCTTTGATCAGTAGTATGCCTCCGCCACCCCACCCCCACCCCACCCCTGCATTGAAGCCTGCATTGCTGCCCATGGTGACTTGACAAAATACTAACTGTTCACCTGTCTTCGAATCTGGAGTTATGTTCTGCTAATATTCACATTTAATACGTGAGTAATGAGTGAAAAATATAAAAAGAATTACAATCTTTAAATTCTCAATAATTTCTGGTTGTATTGTATGAGATCAAGTTCTGTGCGTGATAACAAAGAATGATTTTATTACACGAATATATACATCATATCAATATTAATCTGACTAGACTTTTATATATTTATATTTCTGTATTATATGTGCAGGCGTTGACGTTATTCTCTGCCATTCACGTTTTATTGTGCGTGAGTTTTACTTTTACGCCGCTTTTATCAATATTCCAGCAATATCACGGTGGGGGACACTAGAAATGGGCTTCACACATTGTGCCCATGTGAGGAAGCAAACCCCGGTCTTCTGCGTGACGAACGGACGCTTTAACCACTTGGCTACACGTTTTATAAAAGAAAAGAAATGCGTGGGTTCTTCGCCCAAAAGGCTCAACCGATAAAAAAACTACGTCAGTATCAGTCCGGTTAATAATATCATGATAAGCCTTACATTTTTCTTCTACATGTTTCCTTTACGCGTCATTAACTGAATCTGATACTTTTAAAGATACAGTAACCAAGATCAAATTTATACTTTGACACCTGAGCCCATTGCAGTCAGCATCTTGACCTATTAATGTCCTTGGCTCCAAGTTGTGCATTATCAGATTTGTGTTGGGGACACGAAACAAAGAAGATATTGTAAGCGAAGACCTCTCAAAAGAGTGTGTGAGTTGGTTGGGTTGCACAGTATTCCTGTTATATCAATGCGCGACAGTCTAATGTTGGAGGGGCGGTTGGGTAGCCCAGTGTTTAAAGCGTTCGCTCGTCATGCCAAAGGCCTAGGGTTCGATTCCCCGCGGGGGCGGTGGGGTAGCCTAGAGGTTAAAGCGTTGGCTCGTCACGCAGAAGACCCGGGTTCGATTCCCCACATGGGCACAATGTGTGAAGCCTATTTCTGGTGTCCCCCGCCGTGATATTGCTGGAATATTGCTAAAAGCGGCGTAAAACTAAACTCAGTCAGTCAGTCAGTCGATTCCCCGCATGGGTACAATGTTTGGAGCCCATTTATGGTTCCCCCGCCGTGATACTGTTGGAATGTTGATAAAAGCGGCGTAAATCTAAACTCACTCACTCTAATGTTGGAGTAAAGTCTGGAGTGGTAATCTCAGACGTTTACCGCTTTGGTGTAGTGAACACCACGGTGACGGATTCAGTGCTGACAAATTTAAACCCAGCAAAATAACATGGGCGAACCGGGACTTCACCCAAGAATCGTAGGTTCCGGGTGTACCCACGGGACGAAACTCCACAAAACGAATTGCTGGACCTTCTACAACTTGGGCAATCGTGTCCCTTTTCAAGAGTGACTAAATTCTGTACTTATGCATTCTGATGGGACAAAGAGAATATATTCATTATGCATCATATTAAATAGAACATTTAAAAATTTATTATACTTGTCATGGGATATTTCTTGCAAATTAGTATTGTGATAATCCTTGGATGACGTGCGTACATGTTACACGTATGCTAAAATCTGGCACATGTGTACATGCATTTCACGGATTCTTGGCCCCTCCGTGATTAGTGTTATGGTAAATTTGGAAAATAAGATATGGATTTTTTACTGTGCGTCTTATATATTTTCTGACAAACATGATCTTTTTGTACATTAAATGAGACGTTTGAATTTTATCTGTGTCAGTAGAACCGAGATTGTCTGAAATGGAGTCTTGAAACTGAAGAAGCTCATCCTAAAGACCGAATACATGAAGTTTGCCGTGGAGTGATGGAGCTATTTGATCATGACGCCAGCTGTGCCACATTACAGTGGTCAAATAACACGAAACTGTGTCACACAACAGCATCTTTGAATTGAGTTTAAAATGATTGTACAAGCAATCAGAATGTCACGTTTATGAGATTAAAATGATGTTGTGGACTAGTAATGTAGTTAATATGTACATCGATGACAATCAAAGTTTAAACATCAAAACCTTTCTTTGAAAATGCAATGAATTGATAAATCATGCTAATGGCCTTCGTTCAGAACGTTTTCCGAAAAACGCCTTGGCAATAGGCGTAAATCACTACAGATAGGAAAGTATTTTTCGAATTTCCAAGCCGTGGAGGTCAGAGTTAGAACTGAGCTTCAACAACCAATGCTTGGGTGAGTGAGTGAGTTGGTTTGTTAGCTTGTTGGTTAACTTACTTGTTTGACATCCCGTGAAGATCTGGGCTAGAACTGAGCTTCAACAACCAATGCTTGGGTGAGTGAGTGAGTGAGTTGGTTTGTTGGCTTGTTAGTTAACTTACTTGTTTGACATCCCGTGAAGATCTGGGCTAGAACTGAGCTTCAACAACCAATGCTTGGGTGAGTGAGTGAGTGAGTTGGTTTGTTGGCTTGTTGGTTAACTTACTTGTTTGACATCCCGTGGAGATCTGGGCTAGAACTGAGCTTCTGCAACCAATGCTTGTCGTAAGATGCGACTAACGGGATCGGGTGGTTAGTCTTGGTTAGTATATGTCATCGTATCAAACTTGCTCAGAGCGATGCCCGCGATGTCAGTCACTGAATTGTCTGGATCGTTGTAAAGAGCTTAATCGTTACACTTGCAATTATGAAAAATTCTTTGTATTTCAGATCCTGCTCACCTGCTTACCGTACGTGCAATCCTGCCTGAACCCTTTCATCTATGTCCTCATGTCAAAGTCGATCAGGAAGACAATCAAGACGTCGCTTCCTTTCTGCTTCCGCCGTTACTGCTTGTGCTACTGTTGTCGTTACAGAACATCCGGTTCACCGGTGAATGAACTGGTTTTAACCAACCACAGTGCAACGGGCCAAACCGGTCTGAAAACGTCGGTGGAGACATTTAGAAGCTATGGTGCTAATGAACCAACGGACCTCTAAAGCAGTGTACAGAACAGAGAACATATTATTTTATTCCTACACCCCACAACTGGACTTGGCTTACCTGTACACATACATTAAAAGAGTTCATTTCAATATGATTTTAAAGGGCGACTGTACACCATCGTACAAGGGTGAGATATAAGCAATGAGCCTCACCTAGAGGAATGTAGTACAAGTAAAATCTTTTCATCTGGACATTGCATGACATTACATGACGTGTGAAAGCGGAACATCGACAAAAGCTCGAGCGACTTGAGCAAGTTATTTCTGTGTGGCAATTTAGTAAAGTAAGCAGTGGTCTGTGACCTGTCGATAACAACAAAAGCGGTCCATGTAGATATTAGTACAGAATAGGGAAAGGTGCCCGATCATCTGCAACCTTTCACAGATGCCCAGCACAGTTTTGCGTGACAGCCTCGATAAAGAAGAACGTCCTGGAAGGCAATGCCTTCAATCCATCAGTGTGGATTACGACTTCAGCATCCACAACTGATCTTCCTACGTCAAGACTTCTTCTGTTTCCGAAGTTAAAAGAAAGTTCTATTCGATACCCATTCTAGAAGGACGATGACGTCGTAGCACCTGTCTAGAACATTTCGGACAGCAAAGAGAAGCCCCCTCCCACAGGGACAAACGTGTGTATCCTTTTGGAAGGGGATTAATTTGAAATGTCTCTACGTCAAAGATTTCTCTGTGTGTCTCTCTGTGGCTTAGAACTTATGAATCTATCTTTGAATGGTGTTCACCATCATTTCAGGTACGGACTCATCAATTTGTGCAGTATGTAAACCTGACCATTTCTCTGCGCCATGAGGATGATACTTGGTTGTTTGATCGTTCCTTATGAAACAATGAAAAGACACACAATGTGGGCTTTGAACAAGTCCGAAGCCAAGTCACCAAGTCATAAAATGTTGCCCAAATTGTTCACTCATTTTACTTCAGCTACGCTGCTACATTCACCCGTCATTATAAGAGCATACATTAATCAGGTACATCTATTTGGTATCAAATAGCATTGTCGTGTCTAAATGTGCCAATCCTGTGTATGTGGTTACGGTAGACTGATACGGGTTGTGATTCATGCGGTCGTGTGCGTTGAAGCACAGGTATCGTTACACACTATGGATCCGAATGGTCTAAACTGACTCCTTCAGTGATTTACCATGGATTCTATATTAGCATGTCCTATTGTGTTTAGATACAATGTCATGTTGTTTGTTCAGTTCCCTACACTTGGCACTATGTATGTCTAAGTCAAGCTAGCCAGCCCTGTTCGGCAGCTAGAGGCTTCACAATGCAAAGGCCGTCAGCGAGTTGTGTTTTTCACTTGAAACATATATTGTTTTTGGTTTACAAAGTTACTGTACAAATCATGTGACTGTTACTATTTGTTTTCAAGGATGTAGAATTCCTGACAACAGGTCTAGGAGTTAAATTTGCTCCGATTCGACCTGTAGATATTTGTCCAATTGCTTTTTTCAAGATCCCATACCCGTGCTCGCAAAAGCCATTATGTCCATGAGCTTCAGAAGAATCTATGGCCAGTTACATTGTCACAGGTCACAATGGTATAACTGAAATACAGTACGTGTAAAATACTGTGAATGTAGTGCTGTCACGTTGAAATGTAGTTACAGTATCGTCGCTCTCATCGTCATCGAGCGAAACAACCAATTTGTTTTCTTTCTTCATATTGTACACAATGAACATGTTCGATATGTCCTGCCCGTGTCTGTTATCATTATGTTGAACCATATTTATGGAAAGACAAACTGTTCCCTGTGATGTATTTTCTTTTCTGAAAAGAACTTACGTGTAATAAAAGTCACTCCTTGAACTTTGCCCACTGTGTTTCATTAAACATAGGGTTGAAGAGACAGTACTTACCTCTTTTCTTCCGATCTGAATACTAATTATTCTAAAGAAATTAAATGGTTTTGATTTAGAAAAAGTACGGCCATGCAGACACCAGATCATGTTGCCGACCCTGTGTAGGTTCTAGTTTAATTGTTACAGTAGAATGCATAACACTGAAATAGAATTCCAGACACGTTGGAATGACTTAAAGATGTGTAAATTGTCATGGTAATTTAAAGTGGAAAGGGACCTGTGTTTGTCAAGCCCTAAAGCTATAGATGATAGATTTGGCTGCAAAGTCAAAGTCTTGTAACATTAGTAAATAGTATATGAGGCTTGTTCCCTGTAAATACCACCGACAAGCTGGATCATTAACGCCGTGGTTGTAGGGCTGCTTCTATTGAAAGTAAGGACATCGACAGATCACTTTCAGAGCAGTGTTATGCTATCAACTAAGTACATTTGTTATCCTTGTGACAACTGTAGAGTGCTATATTTTAGTCATTTGAATGATGTAAACGATATTGTCCCATCAAGGTCAACAACTGTCCGAAGTCTGACAGTATATATATCCTTGTTTATAAAATCGAAACGAGTTATTATTAATCATTAAAAAATGTTCTAAAACCAGAGTTTAGAATCTTCTAAGAATATTCTGAATACGTCCAGAGTATATGTGTTTATGAATCATCATCAAATGGGTGTTATACCATGTGTTCGGGAAGTGCTGAGCGAATCCTAACTACGGTTAGCAACTGTCACAAAAACATCCAGAAGCAAGTCAGTTTTCAGCTGAATATATTACAGGAACACATCAAAATAGAGAACTGCATCGGACATCATTTTGACAGATAAGGACAATGTCCTCCACATGTCCACCGTAAACAATTTACAGAATTTAGAGGTTTGAATGTTGTAAACTTGATCAAAGCATTTTGGGGAGAGACTCGATTCTCCATCTCCGAAATTTATGTAGAAAATGCTTGACGCTACCTCAAATGTAGTGCAATGCAGACACTAAAGGCATAAATGTTGGTGGCCGTTGACATGGTGTATCCATGTGGTGAATCGAACTGGGGTCTAGTCTTAATGAGCAAACGCTTTAACCACTAGGCCGCCCGACCGCCCCGAAGGTCAGAAGGGAAGAACCTATAACCGTTATAACGCCCACTTGATCCAATTGTACGCGTAAATGTATTCTCGCTTTATACTACAGACAACACAATATTTAAAAGCTGTCGATCGAGCAATGAGACTTGAATGATAATGACACTGAAAGAAGCCATAATGACCACCTGGTCCGATTATACGTCTGGAAACGTGTTCGCATAATGCGATCTGCACCGTATTCTTTATCTTACGACATGTCAGGCTTAATTCAGATACTACGCCTTTAATCCGTAGAGAGTACGAAGATGATAGTATTGTATCAAACCGACCTATTTAATCGACTCGTTCTTACCACATGAGCACTGAGGAACTATTATGTCCTCGAACCCTACTGAGGCCAGATGAGCGAGGGATCCACAAGTGTGTCACTACGAATGAAATGGGCTATTACCATCGTCTGGACATGTACTCGCAAATTTTCCAAAGTCTATTAAAGAACTATACACAAACAGCATGGTTACTGAAGACTAATCGTGTCCTGGAATCCGTGCGGAGGCCATAGGAACTTGGGATCGATGAAGGTGGGTCGTCGACCCTCGAGACACACTGGACGAGTTGTCCCACTGACCATGTCGCTGACACATACATTGCTGACACACTATTGGAAAAAATGGACAACCCTCTTTCCAATCTGTGTCTTCCACAATATTGCTTATTGCTGTGTTACTTTCTTCTAATCTTGTTACCATTATTTTTCAACCTTCAAGATTGAATAGTTTCACTCCTTTCACACACATCACATCCATTCTTTTACACTGTTATTGACGAAATTGTGAGTTGAAATAACGTATCATCAGGCTAGTTAAATAAGAATGTTATTTCTCAAGGAACCACAGCACGCTGCTGACTACGGGTTGAACAGTGCTATAGCTTACCCTATTCTATGTAAATTGGATATGTGAAACAATAGTATGGATGATACATTGAGTGTAGAGGCACCGGAGCTCTTCGTGCTGAGAGGGTAATATAAATACTAAAAATATTGTTTTGATATCATAGTGATGATATTGAAATTTAATCCTTGCATGTACAAATGTTCCGTAATAATTGATATATAATTTGTAATCCACCGTTCATAAACATGGTTGTAAACACTGTTTCGTTAAATCTTGAGTTTGATAACAGAAACTGATGATCAAACAGGTTTACAGGGACGTGCATCCAATCGATTCGATCTCTTACTTAAACATCAATAAAAGGACACACTCCGTTTCGCTGTCATAGAGTGGGAGCATGGCAAGACCAAATGAAATTGATTACACATTCAAAGATTAACGCACCGGTTGGCACAACAAGGAATTAATTGCCTTTGCACAATGACGAGAGTTCTCATTACTTCACATTACCGGAAATACTTTCTTAGTGCAAAACAATTTGGGTTGTTTTAGTTCATAACTGATGCTGCATATGACAGACAATCCATTATTTTAGTGGTTACCCCTGAAAGGTACACTGACGGAAATGAATACTGGAACATCCCATGTGTATTTAACTCAGATGCATGAACAGTTACAGGGGAATATTAATGGTTAAACAGCTTGAAGTGCTGAAGACCCGGGTTCAATTCCCCATGTGTGGCAATGTGATACACCCATTTCGGATGTATCTCCGGCGCGATATGGCTCCTATCCTGCTGAAATTCAGAATGCTCGCTATGTAGTGTCTTCAGGTGTTGAGGTGCAAGTGCATATATTGAACGCGAACAGACAGTTCCTAATGCTGTATTTGTATAAGGGTTTTTTGTGTTTTTATTATATAATCATTGTGTTGAAGGTGTTGCCTCATAAACCTTTTTATAAACATGAAAACTGCAGACTCCAACTATTTTAAAAGTCTGTGTTTAAAATTATTAAACTACATAATAGTATTAGATAGATCATCAACTCATTGTCTAGTTTGTTTACAGACCCCCCATCGCCTGAAGCTATTAATACTTATTTTGCAGACAACTTTTGTGAATGGAGAGTTCTACTGGTAATGCAGGACACCCTTTTTTGCAAACACCTGGTGTCATCACTGATTTCACTGAACCCTTTCATATAACTGTTACGACTATTTTTGTCCTTTACAAGCAAAAGGAATTATCTGTTTCTGAGGAGAGTCAAGACTGGGTATACTTTTGCACTGACGATATAATATTTCAAGGAATCAGTATCGCATAGTTGATAATGCAGAGTTCGCAGTGAAAGTGGTCATATCTTGCCAAATAGGCGGCAACTCTTACAAATACATGCAGAAACAAGTGAACTGGATTGGATTTTACTTTTGCACCAATGGTTCACATTTGGATCCAAGAGTGGCAGAACGATCTTTTAAAGTCATTTCCAAAGTGAAAATAGAAACATCGAACCGACAAATGCAAATGATATGATCAAATGCAAGTGTGAGCACATATTAAAGATAGTCAAGGTATATGCCATATTTGCAGTATGAATGAATATAAGCAGCTATCAACAGGAAATGGCACGGCTCAGTAATTACAAGGTATCTAAAGACTGCAAAGTATTTCAGGACATCCTACAGACAGGGTCACTTTAGGTGCAGA